TTATTTTATTTTATTTTATTTTATTTTATTTTATTTTATTTTATTTTTTTCCAGGGAAAAATCACATAGCAATTAATAAAAAAATCAGCTCACATCATTATGTACCATTTCTGTCATTTTGACTTCTGTTTAATCTGGTAATGCTATATCTGAGGGTGTGGGCCAATGAACAGTAGATCTCATGTCTCATGTTGTTCTTATTGCAAAATTATTCACACTGCAGTGAATTAGTGATAGTGCTCAAATCTTATTGTGATTCCTGAAGGCAAAGACAGTACACACCAGTATAAATGTGCTACAATTTTAAAGGGTTGGAGGCTGATTCCACAAACCTTTTCTAGTGTGAGTAATTCTGATATGAAGTTTTCTTCCCCAGAGCTACTCATTTTTGAAAGGATTGCTTTTGCAGGAACCAATCCTTGTGTTATATGTGACTGTTTAGATACTGGACTGTGAAAATATTTCTTCTTCTAAACATTGAATGATAATGTGGATGGTTGTTAGCAATGCAATTCCTCCAGCAAACAGGAGTGGATACTGCATATAGAATCAGTTTTACCATCATTACTTTTCAAGATAATACTTAAATATATATCTTATTTGCTATAGAACAAGTAGGAAAAAAATGTGGAAAAACGAAGGCTTCTCATATCAGTTGTGATTCTTTTTTTTTTTTCTTTTCTTTTTTTTTTTTTGACTGGCAGTTGTTCCTATTTTCAAGTGTTTGTTTCTACTTTAATGAGGATACCAACTTTCATCCAGTGAGATGTGTGGGTCACTTTGTTAGCGCACTTGAACACACCAAGGCAATACACCAGCTGGAAATTTTGACTTTTAGTTGAAATTATTTTTCCCCAGCAAATGGCTTTCCTTTTGACATATTTTAATGTACTTGCACACTGAGAGGAAGAGTGGGTGAACAGAAAACAGACTGTTTTATTAACCCAGCAGTCACTTTTGAGATTCATACATGTCCACTTTTTTCTTGCCTTTGTACCTAATCCCAAGAGACTGGTATCTGGCTTCCCTTGGAATAACAAAGTCAGTCACAAACCTCCAAACATGATTGTTAAGTGAATACCAACGGTTTCTTCTCATCTTTTTCTTTTTTTTTTTTTTTTTTTTTTTTCAGTAGTGTGTTAGGGACTGTGTCCTTATAGATGCCCTATAACCATTACATTAATTTGGTTTTACATTTAAGGATTTTTTCTCTTGCAGTAGTAAAGGTACATTGTGCAAGAAATTAAATTGCTTCCTTTATTTTCTGTGTATGTTTTACAGTGATTTTTTCAGCTCTGCTAATTGTGGAAAGGGAAGAATTAAAGCAATGCTGCAGGCACTGACTGGACTACAGTTTCAACTCAGAGGAAGGCTACGGGATCAAGAGTGGACAGAGAAGTATTCTCAAGAAGAAGCCCATGCACGTTACCCACAGTGCCACATGCCACTTTCACAATACCCCGGGTTCAATGGATTTTTGCCTGTGGGAGCACAGTTTTCATCAGACAAAGCTCCAGCAATCTCAGAGGTACCTATATTACCAGAAGACATTTACAAAGACTATTTCTGAATGCTGTTTTATCTGCAAAAAATTATTCTTAATTGTAACATAATTAGCTCATTTTTGAAGAACATCTACATGAAATCCAGGAGGGAGGTGAGGGATAAAACTGTTGGGGTTAATATTTTCTAAAAAATATATAGGACAAGCAGATGCTAGACTATTAACTAGGTCTTGTACCGGTTCTGCTTAAAAACATGTTACTTGATTTATTTGTTAATCTTAGGACTGACTCTCTAATGATCTAGGGCTGACAACATATCCCATCCTTCTTTTGGACAGTAGAATGGCCCTGGAGATTTCCTTCCATGCCATACAGCATTTACAGACAGCAACCAGGGAACAGGAATGGGGCGGAATTCTTGCCCCCTTACCCTGTGGGGGGCAGGCAGCTTCACACTGACGCCAGGAGGGAGGAGATGCTGCCTCCTGGTAGATCTGTGCCTGCTAGGTAGGTATTGAAAAACATATTGAAGTGGGATGTAAATGTGGTATTTCAGATACCACACGGTGGCAGCTGTTGATAAAGGCTGATACCAGTTTGTTTTTCATTTTTTAAACTGAGGAATGCTGAACAGCAGCTGGTAGACCATCCAAGTAGTCATGTCATAGCTTTTATATCAGGAACGTTCTGATAGCTTGATGTCTGATGTGTTGACCCTTTCTTTCTCATTTAGCAGAGGGAAAGAAAAGGTAAGCAGAGATCCAGCCACTATTCAACTTCTGGATCCAAACAGTGAATATTTTAAGCATTTTTCTCACTGCTAATAAACTTTCTTTCCAGTTCTTGCCACTCCCTTTCTCTTCTGGTCTCCCTCCACTCTTCTGTTCCTCCAGTATTCCTCAACGTAGCCTGAAGAAGTTTAAGAAAAATAATGAAGTTTTTATTTATGCCTTACTTATGCTTTCTGCCCCTGTGGGCATTTGTCTGCCTGTCTGGCTAATGTGCTGTAATAAATCTACTCACTGCCATACATACACATATCATCCTATCAATCAATGAGAGGAAATGCTGAGTATGGTGAGCACTAACAAGAGCTCAGAAGGGTCAGTGCACCAGAGCACTACACTGGCATGCTACTTTCCCTACAGGCTGCTTTAACCAGAAGATAATAAATCAGGTAGTGTGTAGTTGGCACCATGTTTTTTTGCCAATCTCCTTGCCTTGGCAAAAGGACATTCCTATCTCAACATTTAGGACAGTGCCATCCCTTCTCTGGATCTTGATGAAAGGCAGTGTCCTCCTAATGCCTTTGGAGTCCCTGAGTTAGATGTGGCAGGTTGGGCTGCTGGAGAAGCCTGCTTGCAGAGGTTAGTAGTGATCAACAGGTGCTGAAGAGCCCATGCGAATTGCATTTTGCTGGCTGGAAATCAAAAGGCAAAGAAATATGGGAAAAGGTGAAGAAAAGTAAGGAGGGGAATGTGGGGAAAGGGAAGCAAGGGAGAATGGGAAAAAGAAAATATGAAGAGGGAAACAGTGAAAAAATCAGGAGAGGGAGAAAGATTAAGGAGAAATTGGGGAAAAACCAAGTAAGAGGAGAAGAAAAGTGAAAAGAAATGATAATAAATAGATGTGGAAATTCATCTATTGCTGGAGAGAAATACCAGAAATATGTAAAAATAGAGGAATCCAGAAATACTCCTGTTCACACCAGTATGTACAATATCTCCAAAACACCTTGTGGATGATCAAGAAAAAAAAAAATTAAAGACAGGTTTCAGGATTTAAACATGAAATGATGCCTCATTCATAATTAAGTAGCAGCGTTTATGTTACATTCCTACAGACAGGGCGACCTCTATACATGGTTTCTTCTCATGCATTTGCGAGCAGCCAACATGCAATTAAGGACTGATTATTATTATTATGAACCAAGAGTCATGATTGAGTGAATTTTCCACCAGAGGCTTTACAGCAAAACCAATCTGTCCTCTTATGGCTGTATGAAAGGTGAAGAAAGATTTGTTGGGAAGAATAGAGCAATTATAGATCTTTGAGAAGTTAAAAAGCCAAAGTGGGTTAACAGCAAGTAAGGGAAGACCATTATGCCTTTCTGAAAGTCTCACATTTTCTTTGCATGCACAGAAGTTCTGATGTTGATAAGTGTAGCATGCTTGCATGGCAATAAAATGATAAAAAATCTTAATGCTGTTTTACACAGCCTAGAGCCAACACTAATAAGGAATTCCTGTTGAGTGAAGAGGTACCATCAAATACCACTGAGAACACTGAGACCAAGGATAAGGTAGCAGGAAAGGGTTAGCTTGATATTTTAGAACAGCAGTGCCTAAAAGAATTCAGAAGCTGATTCATTTAGCGGTCTTTTTATGTGACACAAAACCTGGATCCAGATTAATCTCTCATTTGATCAAGGAGAAGCTATACTTTCCAGGAAGGTGGAAGTACCAGGAGTAGTAAAAGAGATCACATAATCATGGAATTGATGTTTATTTTCTCCTGCAGTACTGGTAAGCAATATAAACTAAGCAACCTTGTTTTAGCAAACATCTGTACTGGAGATTTTGGAAGAAAATCCAGAGGAATGTTGAATGCATTTGTAACCCAAAAATGGTGATTTCTAATTTTCAAGCTGTGGGCAAGGGCACAGTTCTTACTCTCAATAATACACTCTGATGCCCTTTTCTGAACATTGTTCCAGTATCATAGTAAAACTCCCCTTAGATTCTGACTAGCAACACCTTTTTAGGAAAAATCAATTTTCTTTAGGAATGGCTTTTATCAAGTATTAATTTTGGTGGAAAATCTAATGTCCTTTCTTCTTCAAGCAATCAATGTAAACAAATTTTGTGGTATTTCAGATGATCACTTAAGTTGATCCCTCCTATACATTTCAATGGATACCTTTGATTGGAGGTTAAAGATATGTAAAATTTAACATGCATATATCCTTCTCCAGCATCTGCCTTCTCAGTGGCATGCCTCTTTGTTGTCAGAGATACACTGTGTGGGAGGAAGATTATGCACATCCCTTGTAAGGACCACTGACTTCTTTTAAGTAAAAAAAAAAGCAATATTATATTAGAATAATTATCATTGCTAAACCCAGCAGCCATCGTTAAGGTATTTACACCCAAAACACAATATTAACTGGAAGAACTCCTCTGTTATGACAATATTTATGAGTATTAAAAGGTCATCATAAATTACACAAGCATGGATAATATGGACTTCACAAAGAAGAAAGGTAATGCAGTTTATGGAAAATTAACTTTGTCAATTTAACCTTTCAACTGGTATGATCAGATTTCAAGTTTGGTTGATAGGGGTAAGTTTGTTAATATCATATAGTCAGGGTTCTTTGAAGTGTTTAATAAGTTTCTAAAATCAACTTGCCATGCAACAGTTGGATTAGTAGACTGAATAGCCAATAGATGCAAGAAAGAATTTGGAAACTGAGGAACATTTCTGGTTTGGATGTAGCAGTTTGGAGTAACAAAATAATGCATTTTTCACTCAGTACTACCTAAATGTTATCAACTAATGAAAACTGCTTACATGTGTAGGTAACTTCATTGTTAAAGGACTGGAAATGAGTATATCAGAGAAATAGGTGTTTTTTCATAGTGTGTACTGTAATAAGAGTTAAATAACTGCACTACCAGAAAATGCATGAAAAGCTTTATCAGTACATATCAAGGTGCAGGACTTTGTCCTGAGAACCTGTAACTTTGTCAAGGACCTGGGAATTAGGCAACTTGATCAGCTGGCATTAGGGAGTTGCCAGCATGGCATTGTAGCTTAAAGAATCATTAATTAATTAACTAATAATTAAATATGTATAAATTTATATTAATAAATCAAATAGGACCAGGGTTATTGTTTTCCATGTGTGTTAGGTGTTGATCAGATCATTACAAGATGCTGTGTCAAAGCAGTTTAAAATACTCAATCTACTACTTCTGTATGAGTTACTACAAAAAATAATACCGTTTCAGTGACCTAGGATGCCAAGAAGGCTGGGAGATAAGAATCTCTCAAGCTGACCCATAAATTACCACATTTCTGTCTGAAATAGTTCTTCTGAAGCTGCTGGGGCTTAATCTTAATACTCTTAGAAAGTTTCTATGGGCAACATTTTGTATTTAGAAACACAACAAGTCTGGTTCACATATTTATAGGAGGGAAAGTCTTTTCAGGCTTTTTTACAACATTCTAAAATTGGCAAACATCTGTTATACTTAAAAGCCTTGTGCTGCTTACATTATAAATCCTGTGTAGAGAGTCTCATTTACCCAGTATTTGCTTCACTGACATCTTTCCTGTTCCTCTTCTGAAGTTCTCTGCTGGTTGCATTGACTGCCCACATTATTATTTCACATAACAATTCAAACACTTCCTAAAGCTGATTTTTTTTTTGGTGTTGTTATTTCTTTTTAGTGAATAGCTGCGTAATTTGATAAATTTTAGTTCACTGAAAGAGAGAACAGAATGGCAGTAGTTTACTTCCCTTGCACAAGTAGAACATCTGAAAGCATGAAGATGAGGTGTACATCCAAGAACATCATTTTCAGATGGAGGTATATATCTCATCTGTCTCTCTAGGCTTTGCAATATCTTGGTAGATCTTTGCTTAGGCCACAGCTCATGTTTAAATGACATACTGGTTGCATACAGGAACATATGGATGCTTAAATTAGAAGTGACCACTTGTACATCTGAAATAGATGCCGTGGTAACTTTTTGTTGGCAGCATGGTAAGCAGGTCTTTTAAGACTCTATTTATCTAGCTTACCTTAGGCTTTCAAGTAAGATGGATTACATCATCAAAGTGCCGTTTTCCACCTTGTTGACAGAAAAATATATGTAGATTAGCTTGGATATATGCATCTTAATTCTCTCATACACAAAAAATGTCAAATGAATTCCACATCCAAGTTTTTGAAAGGATAGAAGTTTTGAACTTTCTTGATTCCACTTTAAAATTATCTTAGGAGCTGATGTTTGA